CTCATCGGGCTCCCTGCTCCGCGGGAAGCCTGCTTCTCCCTCTCCCACTCCCCCTGCTTATGTTCCCTCTCTCGCTGTGTCTCTCTCTGTCAAATAAATAAATAAAATCTAAAAAAAAAAAAGAAAAGAAAAAAGAAACCACGGAATAGTCCAATTCCATCTTAAAGTGTACTTAGTTAATTTCACAGACATGAAGATAGTTCTCCGTTCCTTTCACTGTCAAGGGGACTGGAGAAGGCCAGAGCTGTACCGGGGGAAACCACAGTGGGACTCCAGCTGCTATCTCCCCAACCCCGAAGAACTCCACATGGTCTGGCAGACAGAAAGGAAGAGGGAGAGCAAGAGATCGCATGGCCTGGAAAGAGGCCCAAAGTGAGCCTGCTTGTCTCAAGGTAAAAGGGCCCAGCAGAGACGAGGAAGCATCTGGTGGTGCATCCACCCTTGAGATCCCCCGAGGAGTTAAGTGACCACAGAAATGAGTCAGCCCAAGAGGCAGGATCCACACTGTCTGAGAGTATTCCTTTCAAAGCCCAGCTCCCAGCTCCATGGACCCTCGAATGCCCCTAGTTGAGGAAAATCTCCCTATCGGGCCCTGCTTCACACTGGGACACAGAAAATTCTGACAGAGCAGCCAGCAGTGAGAGCACTCTGTGGGGAGAAGAGGGGGCTAGGGCAGCTGGAGAAGACGTCGAGGCGGGGGGAGGCGTCTAGGCAGCAGTGCCGCAGCAGGCCCAGGCCAAGAGGCCCCTTGAAGCCTGAGAGGGAAGAAGGCAAAGGGAGGGAGCATAGGAAGTCAGGGTAGGAAGCCAAGGGCATGGCCTCCCTGTGCACGGAATGCCCCCTCCAAATCGAGTGAGAAGCTAATCCGGGGACAGAGCAGGGAGAGAAGCTCCGGGGTCTGGGGACCTGGCTGGAAACTTCACAGAGGCCAAAGAAGAATGACCCCCTCCCCAAGCCTGTGCCGTTCAGCTCTCGGGGCTCGCTCCTCTTCACCTGTCATCCCTCCCCAACACATGGGCACAAGCTGGCCTGGTCTCAGAAACAGAGAGGAAAACAGTAGGAGCCTAGCTGCATGTGGCAGAAGCCTGTGGAGAAATAAATTGACAGGAGGAGCAAGAGGCCTCCATGACGGCGCTGGCTCTAAGAGGCGCCGGGCTTGTGGCTGAGTCTGTTTCTAACCCACCCCGAGCTGGCTGCCAGACTCATTTCCCTGTTCCGTTTGTCTGTCCGCCCAGCATAGCCCCCACCACATGCCCGCTCTCCGCCGTGCCCTGTCATCTAAGGTGCAGCCCGACCCCAGGGGCTCTCTGCCTCATGAGGGCCGCAGCCAGAGGGCCCCCCATAATGTGGCCACCAAGGCCGCTCACAGTCGAGCCCAGCCCACCTCTCCTGCCTGGCCAAGGCCCTGTCCCCTCACTATACTCACTATACTGACCTCCTTACTCTCCGCAGACTGCTCAGGACCCACACTCGCCCCTCGTCTGTGCGTGGGCTCTCTGAGTACCACAGACCCGGCAAACCCTGGGACAGCAAGTGTGACCCAGAAGTTCAAAGTTGCACAGACCTGGGCTAGCGCCTTGGCCCTGCCACTTACTGGCAGTGCCTCTGCCCTCTGGGCCTCACAGCCCCGTACGAGACTCGACCAACGACACGCCCGGGGCCGTGGGCCAGCTCAGTGCCCAGCACGTGGTCCACAGTCGGGAAGGTGGGTTCTCCTCCCGCGTTCCTGCAGCACCTACACGCCTCACCACAGCACTTAACACCGGCCTGCTCTATTGTTTTTATCGCTTTATGTGCCTGTTTTCCCAGCTGGACCATCAAGTTCCTTCCGACACATGCATTACTTGCTTTTCTGACTTCAGATCCATTCATTCATTGTAGGAAATGCAGAAAACCTATTACATTCCAAAAAAGAGAGTAAGCCACCTACAGTCCTCCTTAGATAACCACCGGAAACATTTTGGATGACCCCCTTGCACCTCTTGTGCAGAGAGGTTTTCTTTTTTGAAAATTAAGATCATGATGCATATGGATTTTTGTGTCTTGATTTCTTCACTCAACAATCCAAGGTGAGGTTTCTCCACATCAGACATTCTTCAAAAACATTTTTTTAACATCCACCTAACACTCCAGCATGTGGAGCACCATCACTGACTCAACTGCCACCCCGTGAAGGGAGGTCAGGTTCAGTCCCTAGACAGGGAGACCTGCACCAGCACGCGTGGAGCTACCAACTGTCCCACCGTGTTAATCAAATGCATTTCCTCCCTTCTCCTAAGAAAGCCCATTTCCCGTGGACAAAACTTGGGGTGAAAAACGGAACTGGCTGTGATATATGAGCCAGTGTTGTGGGCTGGCTGGCAGAGGCGGGAGCCAGATTCTTGGGCCCTGTCTCCCAGGGCCTGGCGTCGGCCAGATCAGCTAAGGGAACACCCGGCAGCCCCTGCTGCCCTGGCTGTGACCCCTCCAAATCGAAGGTGCTTTCTGCCCATAGGCAAGGGAGTGTGAATAAAGTTCAAGGTGCAATGCTGGTCCAGCTCAGTCATCCCATCACAGGAGGAACAGCCCAGAGTAAGAGGATGTTGGACCTAGACAAGACCAGACCTAGGAGGGCATGACAGAAAGTCTTCAATTTTCTAAGGGGCGTAAGTGTGTTCTCTGTGGCCCAAAAGGTACACCTGGGGCCAAGGGACAGAAACTACAAGGCAACAGATATTGGCTGAGCCTGAGCAACGCAAAGAACGAGCGGCAACTACTTTGTAAGGTGGTGAATCCTCTGTCACTGGACAGCATCAGGGCCAAGATTATCTGGAAGGGCGTCAGGCACAGATGATGAGACCCGCACGATGGTGAAGCCCCTCCCACCCTGACACGGAGCTGTAGGACCCCGCCACAGGGAAATGCTACAGCAGCGCATTATCTGTGAAACACTCTTCATGTCCATATGTTCCTCCTACATCTAGAGCCCAGCTCCCTGGAAGCTACTTGTTCATCTTGTAGAACACTCTCCCGGGCATTTGAGAACCAAGAAAAACATTTGCAACCTACTGAAAACCCAACTACATGGACATATACCACAGCTAACGTTACGGAAATTATACCATATGCACCGAGAGAATGTTTCTAAATAAAAATGCCCCCATTCTTGTGTGTTTTTTCCTTTTTTCTGGTTGCTAAAACAATTAGCCTTACAGTCCATCTGGCAATTTACATGCAATTACCCATGATGCTTTGCATGGCTCCTCAGGCCACACTAGGTATCAGAAGTAACATGCTCAACTGAGGTGTAATCAGCATTCCTTCCTGTACAGACTCTGCCTGCCAGTGCCCCACCGGAAACGAGAGAGCAGTGACGAGGAACAGCTCGTGCCCAGGGCAACAGGAGGAGCCTAGAAAGGTTCTGGAAAGACTGAGCTGCGGGCCTCCCTCGATGAGTGTCCTTCCCCGAAAGAAAGACACATTCTAATAGAGGCCCTGCATCCTGTGTGGATGTTTGGCTCAGGGCCAGATTTACCAAGATGCCCACCTAGCTACTTTCTGGGCATGAGCACAGGGAGGGGCAGGTAAGCGGTTTTAAGAGTCTTGATGTTCGAAGGTTGGGAACCTTACCCTTTCCAAAATTAGCAGGAGGAGGGTTGAGAAGTCAAGAGCTCAGCCTCTAAAATACTGAAGCACAGGGAGGGGGACGCTGTGAAGTCCACAGCCTCCTCACCCTTGCCTGACAGCTGGTCTGGTGAAGGGGGCGTGCTGGGAGAGGGAAGGTCCCTCAGCACTCAGCACCAGAGGCCAACTGCCCCAGCTCACTGGCTGAACCACCACCTCTATCCTGGGTTTGTCGGTCTTCCCCCAGCACCGTGGGGAGTCAGGGGTTAGGTTATAAGAACCATAAATATACCCAGGTTAACTTAAAAAAAAATTACTATTTAAAAAACTAAGATTTTTAAAAGCTGAAAAATAACTGGCCCTAAGCTGGCTTTGGAAGGGGGGTTTGCTACAGATTTTACTGTCTGCCCTGGAGATGGAGATGGCCCAGGTGAGGCAGGCCTGTCCTAGTGAGGGTTCCTCCTGGCAGCCCCAGGCCAGCACCCTGGGCAAGCTGTTATTCAGAAAACACCAAATGCAAGCCCATCAGTGGGAAACCCAGAGGGACCCACACTGGAGCTAGGAGCTCTGGGCTGATTGACCCCAACCCTTTCACTTTACCATCTCTGGAAGGGCTTCCAGGAGAGGGAGGCTCATGGGTACCCTGCCTGAGCTACTTTCTGGACTGACAGAAGGAGCACTGGATCCTAAGTCCAGGGTCCCAGCCAGGCCCAAGCTCCACAGGCAGCCTGAGGAAAAACACCTAGATTTTTCTTTTTCTTTGACATCTTGCGTTGTGTAAGAAGACAGTATAAAATGATACCTCAGAAAAGCAACTGATCCTTCAAACCGCCAATTCAGCCTCTCCTCTGGGCCATCCCTGAGGTTAGGATTCCCTGAGGCTGCACGGCCACATTCCCCACCCCGGATGCTTGGCCTGGGCTGGGCAGGGAAGAGGCCTTTCTGCTGGACAATAAAGGAAACTTCTGGTATCCAAGAGAGATGGGACAGGGAATCACCACAGGGAACCTGGCTGTCCCGTCCACCAGAACTCCCAGTGTCTGACCCAGAACAAGACGGCCTTGAGACCTCACCGCACAGCACATGGTCTGAAGCCCGAGAGGGGGACCAGCAAGGGGCAAAGGTCTGCAGGCAGGTATCCTACCTCTCGGGACACAGCCTTGCAAAGAGCCCGCCCGACCGAACTGTTTCGGGGAACAAAGTTGAAGGCAACAGAGTTTAGAAAGAAGGCACACGACACTCGGCTGATTTCCCGGATGTCTAAGTCACTTCCTTCACGCTTCGCTGGGATGCAGGTCTACGTACTGTTTCACACTCCAGCAGGGGCCACGGGAGATCAGAGAAGCCCGGTTCCGCGGGGCTGCACCCCACCCCTGAGGAGGCCTCCGGGCACTTACCAGGAAGCGGACATCGTCAAAGCCATTCAGAAGCAACTTGCTCTCATACTGCTGCAGCCCCACCGCCTCCAGCCACTCCCCGACGCTCTGCTCCAGCGTCCGCGAACCTGACGAGAGAGGAACCGGCAGACGCTTGAAAAGGGAAAAACCATTAAGGCGGTAGCAGCGGCACTCTGAGGAAGACAGATGGCACTGCCACATCATAGTCATTACCATAAAGCAGCCAGACTATGTACAAGAGACCAGAGGGCAGAGGACCCGCAGCTCCTCTTCCGGGTGCCGGCCAAGGGCAGGACGGCCCGGGCTGCACACCGCCCCCCCCCCCCGCCCCCCAGTCCGAGCTGCTCCGGGGCTGCGGCGGCACATGCACGGTCGCCGCCCACAGGTCGGGGGGAGTTCCTCGTCAGCGTTCACACTGAGGTATTTCAGGAAGTCTGTTCCCACGGGCACTAGAGGGGCTGGGGGGCTCCTCTCATCCATGCAACTTCTGGAGCCCCCGTGGGGCCATGGGCGAGGGGCACGTCCTGTGACCTTGCAGCACACACTGGTCAGGAGGGCGCACGCATCTTCATGCAGCTGAGGGACACAGGCACACAGCGAGGGCTCCGGGAGGGAAGCAGCGGCGGCTGTTCACGGGGACCCAGCACATGCAACGCGAGCAGCACAGAACCCGGCAGGGGGAGAAAAGAGACTTTTACTTGTTTTCCCCCAGCAGTCCCGGAATAAGCAAACCATGGCCACCGGCCCTTTGTGCTCAGAGGCTCAAGGCAGAGGGGCCGAGAGTGCGGCGCCTGGGCCGCGCGGCCCGGGGATCGGGCTCAGGTGCGGCTCAGCTGTGACAGCGACATCACACTCCTTCGGGCTGCGCGGCCGGCGGGGCCAGGAGCCCAGGCCACAGCTAGACTCTGGCTGCTGGCGAGCGGGGCGTCTCCCGCGCCAGGGCGCTGTCTGAAGGGCTGCCTTCCCGGGCCGGGCTCTCTTGCCGGGGCTGGGCATTCATTTTCCTCTTCTGAGAGTGGCTGTTCCTGTGACTCGCCTGCCTGCTCAGGTGGAAAGCAGGCAGGCAGATCCAGTTCTTGGCTAAAGAAGACAAAACCCAGCCCGATGAAAGAAAGGGGAAAAGGAAGCGGTCCTCTGTCAGCTGAGCTGTGGCGGCTTAAGTCTATTCACGTTCGGCGCTGTTCTCTCTTTGGCTGAGTGATAAAGACAGCAACTGTCTTCCCAGGGTCTCCGGACCTTGACGTTCTCCTCGGAGGGCAAGTGTGGAAGGGACGACATGTATCTGCTCTGCTCCTCGCGCCGGATGGGGGCGTGTGGTGGGGTGGGGAGGAACAGAGTTCAGCCCTCCCTGCAGACCTGAGCTGAGCCCCTAACCCCCACCTACTTCTCTGGATCTCCTGGGCAAGAACAGATAAAAGAAGGGGGAAAAAAAAAACAAACAAAGAGGAAGGGAGGAAAAAGAAGAACCAACTACGAAAACATCACCTCCAGAGAACTCTTGACACGGTGAAAGTCATTCTGTTGTTTTCCCGGCACTTTCTGCCCTTCAAGGCAGGTCAAGGCCAACTGGCTTGGTGGTCTAGGAGCCCCGGGTGACCCACTGTCCTCGGCTCCCCCTCCTCTGTCCTCTGCAGAAGAGCTGGTGGTCAGGGACCCGGCGGCCGTCCGACGCACGCTGCAGCAGCACTCCGAGACGCTGGGTCCCCTGCCCTTGAGTGGGGCTGACTGCTCCAGGGAACCTAGGCGGCGGGCTCTTGTGTGCCCACGAAGTCAAGTGTCCCCGGCTGCTGATTCATGCCTGCTTGTAATCCCCTAGCCGGGCAGCTGTGGTCCTGGCTGCTCCCGGTGGATGTGTGCGCTCACAGAACCGCAGCAGAGTGCTTTGTCTGGAGGCTCCTGGGCTCCACGCTGCCTGCTGCCGGCCCCACAGCCCTCGCTCGCTCTCATAATGTCTGGCCCTCCCCTTCTCCCCTCCCCACCCTCCTCCCTTCCACGCTCAGGAAAATACATCAGGGATCGGACATCGGAGCAGAAGCTGCTGCTGCCGCCGCCGCCACCACCGAGGGAAGAGGACACAGCAGCACAAGCACCAGAGCAAAATGACAGGTTCCCCGGCACCTCATGTCAGCCGGCACACATACGTATGAAAGGCGGAGATGGGGAGACTCTACCTGCAGCTCAAGGGGCTGGAAACAGCTTATCGGGGACAGAGAAGGCACATTCCTACAGTTTGGGCCAATAGTTTCTAGGACAGCCAGAGAAGGGGACAGAGGAGTGACACAGCCCTGAGGGCACAGCCCACAGGTGAAGTGACCCCCGCCCCCACTCACCACGTGAGAAAGATTGTGCCTCCCTGCCAAGAGGACAAGCCATTGGGGCATAACAAAAACAAGTGACGAAATAAAGACGGTCCACCTAATATTCCTCAGGTGAGCGAGTGTACTCAACACCTTGGGAAGAGACTTCTCCCTGGGCCCGTCGGAACCCAGGGGAGAAGCACCAGGCCCAGAGCAGGCTCCTCACTATCTAGAGGAGGGCATGGGATGGGAGGCACTAAGGAAAAAGGCCCAAACCCCAAGTACAGCTGTGAAGACAGAAAATGTAACATGTAGAGACAAAGACCCAGGGCCCACATGTCACCCTCTAAACGTGCTGGGGGATGCCTATAGCCCAACACACTGTAGTTGGCCTTGGTGAAGAAGGGGGCTCTGTGTGCAGGGAGATCAGGCCCCAGAGGAGCCTGCAGTGAACGGCTACTCAAGAGCTAAAACGGTTGGCTTTAGCAAATGAAATCAAGTGATCTCTTCCGCTGCTTGACAGACAGGCCTTTGTTGAAGGCAGCCAGAGGCCCGGGCTAGTGGGAAGGCTCCCCCTCCCGGGACCCCTGACAGTGGAATGAGTTGTGAAACCTGTCTGTTGGGGATTTGGGTAACTAGCTCCAGTGCTGGAAGCTCAGGGTCCCAAGGCCCAAGACAAGAGTAAGACTCCAGTTCCACGTAGGGTCTCGCCCTTCAGGACACGATCCTCTGCGAAACCAGTCACACTGAGCAATCCTGTGCTTAGCTAATGGCTGCCTGCCGGAAGGCCTGCTCCTCCTCCTCCAGGCTGGCAATGCTAGAGCCCAAGCCTCTTCTCCTAGAGCCAGAAACCTAAGGACAATCTGGACCCTGCTACTGACTATCCAAAGTAATCAAGAATTCTGTTCTCGTCTGAGCTGAAAGCTGGTGCTCCCCGAGGTCCTGGGGAAAGCCCCCTCCCGACCCATCGGGTGGAAGACAGAGTTCAGGGGAAGAGCTGAGTCTACTCTCTCCATGCTTCCTGGCCTGGCAGCAGTCCAGACACAGGGGGCTGGGCCTCTCTGCGGCACGGGTGTGCCCACCCTGGACTCTCCTAAGCTGCTGTATGGAGGATGGCTCAACTCAGCGGTGCTAACACAGGGCTGTATGCTGGGATCCAGTGACGCAGGGGGGTAACCAGACCACCTCTCACCACTCACACGGGTCTGTGGGGGTAAGAATGGTGGGTGGGACCCACAGGGCAAGGAAAGAGCTCAGTGTCACCACCCCGAAGGAGAAGGGCTCTTCCAGAAATGTGTTTTCCAGAGGTGCTGCCACATCTCCTAATTTACCAAAGTTGAGAGGTAATGGCCTGCTCTGACCCACACTCTCAAGCACATGCGCTCCTTGGACATAGAGGGGTACAGGGAAGCAGAAAGCAGCTTCAACTGAACTATCGATCCCATTCCTGACTGTCCCCAAAGCACAGCTTTGAAAACTAGCAACGGTCAGTATTGAGCATCTATTCCCAACAAACACTTGGCTCTTGATAAAGCCCGCACACAACAGAGTGTGAGATTGTTTATCTGAGTGTGGAGCCAGCACGTGGAAACAGAGCCACAAACTCTTAGCCAGAAAAGCCACCTCTACAGACCCCAGCATGAGCCAAGACTGAAAGAGATGGACCACACCGGGCTGGGCCCTCTCTGCTAGGAGCCAGGGAAACAAGGTTGCTGGAGGGAGGGGGCTCCAGGACCCCAGCTGGACGAGTGGTGGAGGGAGACAAGCCAGGGGAGCAGATGCTCCTCTTCTCTAGGTTTTTCAATACGACTAAGTAATTATTTCATGGACAAAAGACGAGCAGAGCTACCATTTACCTCTTTTGCTCAAGTTTTTGTATCTGGTACTCATTCCCAACAAACCTATGAGGTAGGTACTATTATCAAATGTTGTAGCTCGGGAACTGCGGGCTCAGAGAGATTAAGTGACTCGCCCAAGACCTGTAAGTATCCAGAAGCAGAATTTGAACCCAGGGCTGAGGCTTCAGAGCCCATGCTCTTTCCATAAGCACCGCGGCCTCAGCAGCAACTTTCTCCCCAAGCTGCAACTAGAGGTGTCACTTGGGCTAGGAGGCCAATCCGGGCTGGAGCCTCCTGAATGAGCAGGGAATCCCACCCCTTCAGTTAGAGAGGCATTTCTCAATGACAGGGAGAGGCCAAGCCCCATGGAGCTGCTCTCAGCCTGGGAGTTCTGGTGGCAGGGGGTCTGCAGATGCTTGGGGGAAGGGATATGAGACTTGCTCCGGCAAAGAGGTACCTTTAGAAATGTCACCTCAGCTGAGAAAAGTAACATAACCACAATTCTATCATCAAGGAAAACAGCTCAGATATGGCCTCTCTAGGTGCCCACTTCAAACAAAGGAAATTGAGGCCGACCTCACCCTTGGGCTTTGAAAAGAAAAGCATGCCCAGAGTAGCGGTGATCTGGAGTAAAAATGATGAGCGACTAGGTAAATGGAAAAATGCAGAAAAAGACATAAGGAGGGGCACAAAGCCACCCCCTCCAGGTGACGCAGGCTAACAGTCTGACCCCACTGATCCAACCCAGTGCTCTGCTACCAGCATGGAGCAGGCAAACGCGAGCTACTTTCTCACGAAGGGCTAGTGCCACAGCTGTCTGGGAAGCGGGACAGACCAGCGTTGAGGTGCACTCCAATTTAAGCCCATCGAGAAAGCCTATGTTTACAGACATAATTATGGATAAGTGACAACCATTAACTTTAAAAAAAAACAACGAAACCTTCCTAATAGGTGGGCCTAAAATGCAACTCCCCTCCAATCCGTCTAAAATAACAGCTCGGTGGGCCATACAGATACCTGAGGTTCTGAACTGCAGGAGCATGGTGCGGGCTGAGGCTGACCTCTCTCACCCACCACATGTCTGTCTTCTGGGTCAGAGGACAAAAAACCTGAGCCAGAAAGGAGCCAAAGGTCTGTGTTCCACAGGGAAAATGGCTGCTTGGTACGATACCTGAGATCTTCTGCTGTTCCTGAGAAAAGTCAATCCCTTCGCCAATAGAGCTCATGATTTTCTCAATCTGGAACGGAAGAAAGAGGAACAAAAAGGAGAGGTTGTCAGGCTCAGGTTAAACATTGCCAGCTCACCATTAGCACCCACGGCGGGGTGCGAGGGTGGGGGAGGCCCTCCAGGTCTCTTCCAGATAATTCCAAGGTCCAGCACCAACCTGCAACGGATCAGAACTCTCTGCCGCTCAGATCAAGAAAGGCCCTTCTGTGACCACAGCCCAACGGGGGTGAAAGACAGGCTCCGAGGAGAGGGAGTGGGAAACCACCTGTGCTCAGCTGCTGGAAATGCCGGCGAATCTTCCTTCCGAGGCATTTATGTATCGCTCCCTGCAGCAGTTCCCCCAGCCCAGCAGAGACGGGGCAGAGGGGGCAACAGCAGGCCAGGCCTGGCACATTTCACTGCTCACACCAGAATTTAAATTCCATGAGAGCAGAGACTTGGCCAACTTGGTTCCATGCGACACCCCAAGTGCCTAGAGCAGTGCCTGGCAAATGCTACCTTTCAACAGACAATTAATATTGCCTGGCTGCCAGCTCTGAGGGCTGAGGACAATTTTGAGAGCTGAGACAAGCAGAGAACCTGAACACGGGAGCCTCGTAGAAGTCAAAGTGAGGCAGGCATATAACTCTGATCAGAGAATCTTTTACTCCCTGAAGGTACAGAAATGTATCCTTCCTCCGGATCGTAGCAGAGCAAGCTGGTCTCGAAGCATCCAACGACTCCAGCACTGCCCCCTGTATGGACCACCTGTTCCAGCCATCTGGCTTTGGTCACCCTGAGCCAGAGCCAAGCCCCCCACTCCAGGAAACCTGGCCAGGGGCAGGGCAGGGCAGTAAGGAGGCGGCCACCTTCTCTTCCTCTCCTCCTCCTCTTTTGGGTTGCAGCGATAATGAGCTCATTCATGGCTCTTTTTCCAAAAAAAAAAAAGGAAAGAGAATCTTTCGTACCAGAGCTTGGATGTGTTTTCTTCTAAGTGCAAGTAAGGAGCCTGGGTCTGACAATCAAAACAAAAACAAAACCAAAAACCACCACCACCAACTTTCCATCCAGTCTCCAGCTGGCAGACAAAGATGGCGCATTTGACACCCAGCAGAAGAACACATCCTTCCCTTTGCAGCCAGGAGCTGTGGCTATTTTCCTCCGGCCACAGAAATGCCTGCCGGCTCCAGCAGTCACCTGATTGCCTGTTAACACGCACTGGGAACTCCATCCCTGAGCTCAGCAACAGCCAAGAGAAACACAACACAGCTGACCTGTGGAACAAGCGGAGGTGTGCCTCTGCTTACTGGCCCCACGGCGCAGAGGCCAGCACAGAAGTGGGCAACGCTACAGCAGGTCTGTCCCGCCCCCCGAAGAAAATGCCTTTCTCCTTCCCTTCCTAGCACATCACTTTCTTTGGCCTCCACACTCCTCCCCGCCCCCCGCCCTGCCCCATTCCAAGAGCTGCCTCCTTCAACAGGCAGCCTGGTGCAGTCCCCACCCAAGTGGACAGGCAGGCACTTCCGTCTTTTCCCAGCCTCAGTGTTAAATCTACAAAAATGGGAATGCGTCTTGCCTCCTATAAAGAGCTGTTGTGTGGATTAAAAGTAGCCCGTCCATCAAGCATCCGGCCAAAGACCTGGCTCACAGCAGATGCCCAGTCAAAGGCTCGTTTGCTTTCCACTTCCCCTCTGTTTGCCTCAGAGCTCCAACTAGTAAAATCTTGTTGTTTTTAAAGTTAAAAAAAATATTCTTACTTGTATTGTGACAAGTCCTACATCTCCATGATTCAAGGTTCAAAAAGTACAAAGGTTATTCAGAGGAAAATCTCCGTCTCCCAGCTGTCTAGCTCTCCTGTCTGCAACCAGTATAACCAGTTTCTCAAGTATGCTTCTAGATGTGTTGCAGTCCCATGTGAGCAAACATATGAAGATATCCTACCCCCATACTGACAGAGGCAGTCTATATATGCTGTTCTGCATCTTCCTTTCTCTATTTAATCATACATCTTGGAGTTCTTTCCACAGTTCATAAGAACATTCTTTTTTTTTTTTAAATGGATGAGATGAGGTGTGTCATCCAGTGTGTGGCTATTTATTTAACCAGTCCCCTGGTGGGCACGTGTGTAGTTTCCAATCTTTTCGCATTCTCAACAGCGCCATGACGAACACTGTTCTACAGACATGTTTGTACATGTGTACAAGTGTATATGTAGGATAAATCCTAGTTCTCTCTTGACAGTTCTTCCAGGCACAAAATCTTGAGTTCGCAGCAGGGACCCCACAGGTCATATAATCCCAACTCCAACCCCACGTCCGATTTTGCTAAAGGTCTTCCAGAGATGGGGCACTTGCTAACTCTCCCCATTAGTTCGCCCTATTTGCAGAAAGCACCAATTTATAACATCTGTCTTTTTATACATTCGAACCTTTTTTTATCCAACTTCAACCCACTGGTCTGGTTATTCCCCTAGAGCACCTCCTCTTCCTCAGGAAAGGCTTAGGGATATTTGCAGACAGCTCTTCCCTTCCAGGCCAAGCTGCTCCCCCACCCCCGGCTGGGGGATACATCAGTGCACAGGTCCCAAAGCCTGCATTACTCAGATCACAGAAGCCTCCGAGCTGGGCAAAGAGCAGGCACTCCCTACATACCTGCTGATGTGCCTTCCTTGTCCTACTCTATATTTATAGGAGAAAAATAGGGTGTTCAGGGGTACCTGGGTGGCTCAGTCAGTTGGGTGTCCGACTCTTAATTTTGGCTCAGGTCATCATCTCAAGGTCCTGAGATGGAGCCCTGCGTCTGGTTCCATGCTCAGCAGGGAGTCTGCTTGAGATTCTCTCTCTCCCTCTGCCCCTCCCCCTGCTCATGTTCTCTCTCAAATAAATAAATCTTAAAAAAAAAAAAAGTAAGGTGCTCAAAGTGAGAAAACTTTTTCCTACATGGAGGGGAGGATGGGTCCTATCCCTGGAATGGTTCCACCTGGCTATGGATCCGTCTTTCAGGCCAAAGAGAGTATATGTGGGAGAATCACCACTGTAAGAACCAGGAGGGTAGGAAGAAAGCGTGTTTTACTTGCCATTTTACCCCCTGGGCCTGGCTCTTGTTAAACAGGCAACTCACTCAATGAATGAAAGGAAGTGGGGGGGAGGGGTGTTTCCATTTACTCAGAGCCAGTAGTGGAAAAGCTGTTTTCCCAAGGCCATGCAGCATTATCAAGGGGGGGATAAGAGCTGAAATGGGCGATGACCCCAAGCCCCAAGGTAGCTTTTCATATAAAGTCAAGTCACCTACAGTACATGTTTCATTGTCCTCATAATCACCCAACACCCAAAGCCCCAGTGGACCTAACCAATCAACATCTCCTGGCCCAATTCATGAGATTTTACCAAAGGGCCTTTTGAAATCAGAGTGAACAGAGTTGAACACCCTGCTGCTTCTTTGCTCTGTTCCTTCCTTCCTGCCTGCCCCAGGAGTCACCCTCACACCAACTACAAAGGGCCAGGAACAGCCCATGTTTCCACAGCCCACCCTCTGGCAGGGTGCACAAGGACACTCACAACTGTTTCATGGAAACTATACACTATGCTTTGCTGTCCTGTGAACTGTATAGCTAAGTCACGCTGAGAAGATTCTAGTTTGTACAGGAACCAGGAGTACCCGGCAGTCAATGGACAGCTTACAACCCAGCACCGCTTCCTGCCTTGGTGGCGACACAGGGCTAGGAGGAATGTGGCAATGAGGAGGTCCTGTGTGGGCAGAGACTGGCAGGTGCCTGGCCCGACACCGTAAGCACTGGGCTGCCTGGGGCTGTGATCCTGCCCAGCACCTCAGCCTGGGCCTGGGAGACAGGGAGGAGCTGGAGCTCATCTTCTGTCTCCGCCACACCCTCCATGGCCCAGAACCAGCAGAGACAGAATATGGTCATTTCAGTCTAGACAAAGAAGAGCTGTCAGAGAAAACAGATACCATTCCGATCTATATACTTTGTGTAGTTTCACCATCTAGGCTTGAGTTAAAAAAACCAATCCGATTAGGCTGTTTTCCCAGAAATGTTCTGCATCTCAGGGGAGAAAGAGGCAGATGGAATGTCATGGAAGGGCACAGTTCAATGTTCTCTTTTCTGTTGTGTAGGGTCAGTGACATCTTGGGGGAGAGACAGACAATGCCCGTACTTTAATCCTGCACTTCACATAAACGCTATAGGGAACTTCTGTTTGTGTTTGGTAAAGTAAGGCCTGAAATTTATCACCATAATGGATGCATGTATTTTAAAAATGCTTGGAAATACTCCATTTTCAGACTGCATTCAGGGCTATCCTATTTAGACTCTCCCCTCCCAGCGCCACCACGGATGTATAAAACATATTCCCCATGTGGCTGAGAACAAGAACAAATACAAACACTCAAGACACTGCTGCTGAGGTCTGCTGACAGGTACTTGTTCAGAACACAGGCTCCTGGGTGCTCAAAGGCTGGCAGTGGGAGGTGATATTCTGTATACAGATAAAGAGGCCTCCATTCCCTATCACTATATCCTGGCTTCCAGGAACAAGTCAGATTACATTAGTCTTTTCACTGGCTATCAGGAGCTAGGGGAGGGAGAAGACTGCTGTTGGGGGCAGAAACACTTCTTTAGGCACAGGGAGTCCACAGGAGAACCACGAGCCCCGGTGCAACTTGGCATCAAGGCCTCTATGAAACCCCCCTTCCAGAAGTTAGAAGCAATGGCTATGTTCAGGGGCTCCAATTTGTAGCCAAATATTGGGAGAGCAGTAATCAGTCTGGTCAAGATGCCCGTAAGGGGGGCCTAATGGGGAGAAGGAAGGGAAAGGGATCACTTCCTCCTACCTTCTTTTGGGGCAAATGGGAACATGAAGGGAGAGGTTTTTGCAATTCACCAGCCACTAAATTTGGCTCTTGGTGTCAGGCATTCCCTTCCAATCCTCCTTCTGCTGCTTGGGGAGCTCTCAGCTCCCTAGGAGCTCCCTCCCACCAGTTGGAAAATACATACCAGTCCCCCTGGGCCTGTAC